GATGCATAGAAGTCCTTTCCTATTCAAACTTGGATCTTTGTTATGTGACACGTGCATCAATGCCTCGAACACCATCAAGTGTGAATAAGAGATATCATCTTCGACCCAACCTCTCTCTTGGATTTGACCATCCAAAGAAAACAACGGGATCGATTTAGGTAGCATATTGTGAGGACTGCTTCACCCCAATACACCTTTGTAGTGGATAACATGCTCTTAAGTCTAAGGTACTTTAGCAGCTCGCGTCTCCTTTTCCACCTTGCGTGGAAATCCTGAAAGATCTCGAACCCCTGATCTTTCGGTTTCACCCATACCATTCATGAAGCATCATCAATGAAGGTGACCAGGTATGATGTGCCACTAAAGGACTCCGATGCTCCAGGTATCCGCAACTCAATCCGAGTTGGATGATGCAATATTAATGCACCCCTCACCACAGTTTCCAACCAAAGCAACATCTATAGTCACTGCAGTGGTTTTCCTGCCATCACCCATGGCATGAACCTTATTCCACTCATTCTTGAGCTTCCGATAATCTTTCTTGATGTGCCCTTCCTTACCACAGTGAAAACATTTGATCCCCCTTTACATTTTCGATTGGTTTTGGTCCTCATTCCTGGACCTTCCTCGATTTGCGATAAGGGCTTGTGAGTCCAATGTGTCAGAGGCTTTTCTTCTTACCTCCTCATTCAACAGGCTATTAGTGACCTGACACATGGTCAATATCCTAGCTGGTGCTAAGTTATTCACAAAGACTACCAGTGTCTCCCAACTGTTTGGCAGTGAACCAAGCAAAAACAGAGCATGTAGCTCATCTTCCAGGAACAACTTCATCGTTGCGAGTTGGTTACCAATGCTTTTCATCTCATTCAGGTGCTCCGCAACAGATTCCCCGTCCCTGAACTTCATGTTTACTAACTTTTGGATAAAGAACACCTTATTTCCGACGGTCTTCCTCTCATACAAGTCATGTAGCTTAACCCACAATGACTTCAAGGATGTCTCCATCGACATATGGTGGAACACATGTTCTTTCAACCATTGTTGGATAGTTCCGAGAGCTTTTTTACTCTAGTCTCTTCCACTCATCGTCTCTCATACTTATAGGTTTGTGTTCTACCCCTTCAATGGGTATGTACAAGTCCCGACAATATAATAAATCTTCCACCTTGGGCTTCTAGATGATCCGGTTATTACTATTGAGCGATATCATTCTATTCCCGGTACTGGAATCCATCTATCTACACACACTATCTATCCCCCGTGCGATACGATTTGTTATCGCCTGATCGTTTCGATTAACTACCCAGCGATCGTGAACTGCCCACTGATCGCGAACTGTCGTCTGATCGTGAACTACCTCGCCGTTCGGGAACGGCCGCCCAATCATGAACTGTCGGCCAATCGTCAACTGCCCACCATGAACTGCCCATCGACCATGAACTGCCCCTCAATCATGAACTCCCACCCGATCGTTATTGCTGCCCGATCATTGTGTCGTCCGATCGTTATTGCCTCCCAAGGGATTTGTGTTCTTCCTTACTCGTCCCAAGACTGCTAGGTTTGCTATACCCTAAAACATTATTAGGGAGGACCAAGCGGTGAGAGAAAAATGTGCTCTGATACCACTGGTTGGGCTCACCCACTTAGAGCTCTATTGCACAAATATGGATATGGGCTGTGGAAACAAGATTATATGGAACACAAATATGCCAAAGTCGATGTGTATGTGTATGAGTGGGAAAACATACAATAAAGTATATAAAGAAATAAATCTTATTAGCATCAGATTTATGTGGTTTACCTTTCAGGCTACATCTACGAGATAGAGACGAATCCATTATTAACACATAAGTTACAATAGTATTCCAAGAAATCAACTTTATTGTGATCACTGATTTCATTTAGAGGCATCTCTCTCTAGAATTTCATTCTCTGATCTCAAAGACTTCTTTTCTATCCAGAGGCTATGTATCTCTAAAAGAAAAGGTTCTCTCTTTCCCTCATTTTCCTCCCTTCTCCCTTTTTTCTGTCACAACAAAAAAATTCTTAAAAAGATGATCATTGTCTCCCTTTCATTTTCTTCTTATCTCTAAGAAGACGGATAACTCTCTCTTCTTCTTTTCTCTTCAAAGAAGGATAATTTTATCTCTTATTCTTCTCTCAAAGAGAAAGATAACTTTATCTCTCTTATTCTTCTTCTTCTCCACAAAAGAAGGCATCCTGTATTTCTGATACACCAAGAAGAGTCCGCCCGAATGTGGGCCTAAGAGAGGTGTATGCCCAAAATGGCCCAAGAGAGATTGCTTTGGTAAAACTAACCAAGAGCATCAAATAACTTGTTACGTATTCCTTTTTATATATGGGCCAAGGAAGAACAACCATATTTACAAGTCTATTCATAACCTCTTAAAAGGGAGGTCCATCTCTATCTCCTTTTAGAAAGAAATAAGGGGAATATATTCCTATACCAATACAATCCAACCCACCAATTGGGGTTTTGAAACACCAGTGTCTCTTATTAATTGAAAGGTAGCAATCCATTGAACTTATCAAAAAGTGGTCCGTAATTCTAACATATGCGTAAGGGTAGACTTGACTTAGACCCAACCCAGGTGGGTTTAGGGTCCAGGTCCAACTTGGACCCTCTCATGTCAAGTCAGGTTGAAGTCGGTGTCGACTTGGTATATAAGTGTAAGATGCATATATATATTTAATGAATATATATTATAAAATATATAACATTTTTTTTGTATATTTTTATTTCAAAATCAGACCTGACCCGACCTAGTCAATCAGAGTCGGGTCCAATTGACTTGGACTAGACCCAAGTCTAGGCCATGTCCAAGTCTAACCTAAACTCAGAAATGTTTAACCAAGGCACATATATCGCTAGGACAATAATTCCATTTATATTTATTTCCTATGATTTAAAAATAGGATTGTATGTATAAGACAATTTACATTTGTTACAAGCAGCCATAGCCATTCGATAAGAAATGCGATGGCTTGAGGTGTGTCACAAGACTTGAAAAAAATTCTTTTTTAACTTTGAGCCCAATCAAAGGTACACTCTCAGCTACTGAATTTGGCATCCCAATGACCAAAGATGATTGTGACTTCCTTATAAAAAAAATAAATTAATATACTTTTCTTTAGAAAATCATGAAGTTAGCTCGGGGCCAAAGTGTACTTAGTTTTTACCCAAAATTGCACGAATAAAACAAGGGAAAGTATATAATGAGACTATTTACTTTTGGTACAAGGTGGTCACAATAAAGTTTGACCATTGGATGTGAAATTGGGTGGTTGCATTTATTTTATTGACCAAGCTCAAAGTCCAAAAGAATTTTTCTCGAACTTTGTAACACACCTAAGCTATCAGATTTTACATCGGATAGTTGTAAATAATTGTGGCTTCCCTATTCCAAAGGTAAATAGTCTCATTGTATACAATTCTATAAAAGAAATAACACTTTTGGTTGGGCATAGCGTGCACAATGTTGCAACCTTAAATAATCAAATTAAGGTGCACCTCCAAACTTTGCCACGCTATGTAAATTTGGTGTTGAAAATTATTAGGATAAGATAAAAATCGATTTTTATATCTAATTATGAAATTTTAAACTAAAACAATGAGTGAAATTATGTGGATATCTATAACCACATCAAAATCTTGAAAATAGACGGTCTACATAATGTATTGCAAAATGCACTATTTTTAGGACATGAAAGCTCTTTTTTTCACCATATCTATATATAAGGGTGGCAATGGATCGGAAACCGACCCTGGTCAAGGTATGGGTCAAAAAATTAGACCTAGTGGATCAGTCCAGGTCCAAATCTTGGACCAAGCACTATTCAAGTCTGGGTTTGGGTCTAGGTTCCATAATATTTTTTTTCCATAATATTTTTTTGGATCCCAATTTGTGAAATACATTTAAATATATACATATGTTGATTTTTGGGTCGGGCTCGAGTCCCATAATATTTTTTCGTGACCCATTGTCACCCTTATCTAGATATCGCAATGTCAAGATGATCAATTAGATATTTTTTCAACATCAACACAACCATTTTCAAAGGATTTTAGAAGTACACCTTAATTCTACATTTAAAAGTGATAACCTTATATAAACTTTTTCCTTTTCTGTTCCATTGAAAAAGAGCTGAATCAAACCCTTTGTCTCCAAAATTGGTCTGTTTGCTCCATATGTTAGTGCTGTCTGCCTCAATCTTTCTCTCTCTAGCATTACTTGTACCGTATAAATATTGAAAATTCGAAAATTGTTTCATGCGGGCTAGACTACATTTTTACAATTTACAATCCAGAAGTATAAAACATCCATAGTAAAGATTGATGCAAATAGGTAGTCCATCTAAAAACAAGTGTAATTAACTAACTGCTCAAATGTTTTTTTAATATAATTATTATTTCTAATTTTCAATTTTTTTTTCCATGTTCATAATGATCCATCTAAAAACAAGTATAACTAACTATTCAAATGTTTTTTTTAATATAATTATTATTTTTAATTTTCAATTATGTTTTTCCATAGATTATATATTCACTACAAATTATGATCAAATTATATTTATCTCCAAGCCCCCATTTCTACAATATGCAGTTTGGCCATCCTCGAAAATTTCATGAAAAGTGTGGAACTGAAATCCACGGTTTTGTGTATTGAAATCATCTATTTTGACTGATTTATGACAAATGACAAATTGAAGAAAAATTTGATCATTATTGATAAACTTTCAGACAAAGGCGACGTTTTTGCTGGCCATCTCTCCAACTTTTTTCTATGAGGTTCTTCGAGTGTTACCTGTTGCAGAGATGAGCTAGGACTGGACCTCTCATATGAAAATCCGCCATTACAGCGAGACATATGTTTCTAGAAATCTAGGGCTTTGCCATTTAAGCTCCCCATTCCGACTGTAAACATATCACAAAAAAAAAAAGAAAAAAAAAAGACAAATAAACCCAACCAATTTGCAATCAGTTCTTGAAAGAACCATCCTTCGCTTTCTTTCTTTCCCTTCATCTTTGAGCTTTTTTTTGTCTTTTGGCCAAACCAGTCCAAATAAAAGATCGGTTCAACAGACCGATTCAGAACGTGCAACTCACCAATTCGATGGCCCAAGTCATTCTTTCTAACACTGATGTATAGTTCAAAATTCACTCTCACACACACACCTTTCTCTCATTCTCTCTCTCTCTTAGAACCAAAAAAGATCTTGAAATATCAGTACTACCATCTTATAGAAAATGATCAATTAGTAAATGCAGGACCCCAACTGGTAGTTGTTCCCCATGACCCAACCCACATGGCACCGGCACCCTAAAGATGGCCAAATAACTTCTCCTGAAAACAAGGAGTATGGGCTATTGTAAGAAACACGTTCATTCTTTATGATAGCACCCCATAAAGATCATTTGATAAAAACCATCCCATAAAGCCTTTCATTGATGCTCAGTAACTGATCAAATCCATATTTAGTAAGAACCAAATTCAGTGGAACAACTCTGAGAGAGAGAGAGAGAGAGAGAGAGAGAGAGAGAGCTTGGGACACAGATTAGACAAATCCCAGTTATCAAGGACTGATTTTCGGTTTCAAACAACAGGATCCGACATTTTTAAATCATATAAAGAATATTTCAGAAAACAGTTTGCAAATTTCCTTCAAATCTCGACAGAAGGCCAGCCAATATTTGAGTGAATCCCAGAATCTTGTCGTCATTTAAGCAGACATTACCGCATTTTCCACAAAAAATTTAAGTAAAATTATAAAAAATGGAGACCAGAAGGTGGGCTCACTCTATGCTTACCTTGCTATGGAATATCAATCTCCATGAGACTCTACAAACACTCTCAAGAAAGAGAGAGAACCCACTAACACTCTTAAAATAACAGTATTAATGGGATTCAAGCATTTGGGTTGAAACAATGAGAGAAAAGAGGAATCATACACTGGAGAAGCTGCATAATCAAATCATACACTGTGAAAAGAATAAGAAAAGCCTGGATTGATCAATCCAAAACTGAGAATCCCAGAGCACAAATTTGCAGACAAATCAGTAAAAAACATGGGCTCGTACCAAAATCCTCGAGATCCCATCCCTTCTCTCTCCTTCGTGGTAATCTCTCCTTGAAAATGCAAGGAAGGGTACAGATTTCAACTGGGAAACATCATAGGAATTCAACTCACAGTTAACAAAGAAATTAAAGAGAAAATTTAAAAAGCCAACCCTTCCTTTCTAATTTTACAGATTTGAAAGTTTCAAGACTTACTTGAGAAGAGAGAACTGGTTGGTGCAAAGAAATCCATTAGCCCAAATCACTGAATGGCACATGCACATCCATGGCGCCCCTCTCCATCACTTTCATCATCCGATGCCCCAGCCTCACTGTCAAGTAATAATATCATAAAATAAATGGGCCTTTAGCACATAGTCCATGCACACCTTTCCATATGCATGTGTACAGGGACAATGGGCTCTATCTGCATGTGAGGGAACGTGTACATGCAAGCATCCATGGAAGTTTGCCATGCATTTGGGAAAATCCAATCAATGGATGTCACCATGTACATGCAAGAATTATAAGGCCAGCATGTGCACAAGTGTGAATATGAAAGTGTGAAACAATAGCATGCATATATCAAGGATGCATATATAAATATGCAGGCATGAGAGAGAGAGAGAGAGAGTGCACAAGTCATACAACCAGGGATAGCAAATAACCTCCCGTTCTTTTTCACTCTCTTTCTTAATTAGTAAGCAAGGAATACCCGAAGATGTGCTTCATAGAGAAGTCAGACAATCAAAATCTTAGTTTTTCTTTTTATGTCCTTTCCTTAAGCTAAGGCATCCAAAAACTCATATAGGTTTAACGCACCAGGAACGAAACAATAGATCCATTGATACTGATACAGGTACTCCTAGGATGCTTCTACCAAATAATTTTTTAATAGAAGTTAAAAAGAAGATGTAAGATGAAATTGCAGACAAATGGGCGCGCGCACGAACACACACAGATAATCTATAATATATGTGCATCATTGAAGCTGGATAGGACACTCATTTCTGTATCTGTCCTGGACCCCACTCATTGTATCAGCGCCTGTTTTAGTATCTGTATTACATGGGCACTAATACGAGTGTTGCATCTTGTACGTCTCGAAACGTCTAATACTTCGATCTAAAAAACTATCGCGGCAAGACACGTTCATACAAGTATGACTTTATATATAAAAAATTAATCCTTTTATTACATGTGAGAAGAAGTGGCAGTGGGAGGCTCTCCTGCTCCCCACACATGATGTCCCAAGTTCAAGCCCACATGTGAGCAATATTTAGCTTTTTATATCACTGCAGCATCCCCGCGTATCATCGTGTGTCCAAGTATCGACACCAGGCCCCACACAGAGAGTTGGGGTAACACTGGTCAGTATCATATTTGAGCATCTTTGATTTTTACGGCAATTTATTATTTCCCTCTTAAATTTCAAGAAAACTCACTAAAGAAAACATAAAATAGGAAACATAAGGGCAATGACATCCACCCACATCTCCAAGTATCAACATGTGTTGCGACACCAGGCCCCATATGGAGTGCTGGGATAATACTGGTAAGAATCATATTTGAGCATCTTAGAATTTTATGGAAATTTACTATTTTCCACTTAAGCTTTAAGAAAGATTCACTAAAGAAAACATACAATAGAAAAGATAAGAGCAAGGACATCCACTAACATAAACAAGACATAGAACCAGATATAACAAAAACCACACTAAAGCCAATACTCTAGTATCAGCCCAAGTGGCTTTCAACTCCAGCCTATTCCAGGGATCCCTCAAGCTCTCTGGGTTTAGGGTTTCTTTCTGGATTTCTTCAACATCTTGATATTTTGGATTTTTTAAAATTTTTTGGATGACGCTACAGAACAAGGATAATCCCACGATAAGCCTCTTTGGATCCTCCCTTCCACAAATTTGGTAGAATATGTCTTTCGCTTGCTCTCCATCTTCCAAACCAAAGACAATCCCACATCCAATAAGATCCCTTTTCAAGGAAAGGTATGAGCTTTGATCCAATCTTCTTAGCTTGCACAAATCTGCAGCACAATTGCCCCCCAAGAGCAAAGAGTAGCTCAAGACCTCCCAATACAAGATAACGAATCACTAGCATGGTTGCTTTTGACACTATGGTCCATTTTATTACCTTGGAGTGGAAAATACATATTTTCATGATATAATTATTAGAGAACAGATCAGATGGAATACAAAACAGAGTTGAAGTGGCACCTGGAAGGGGATCAAAGCACTTGTTTCTTTTATAGTTTCGGCAGTGCAATGATGCTGAATCCTTATCCACCTCCATCATGGTCGGGAAACTGTAATGCGAGGAGTTACAGGAGTGGAGAATGAAATCTTTATAATTTAGAAGCCTACACAGGTACTAGAAATTTTCTTTTGCCAAAGTTGAATGGGTTGGACAAAGTACTTGTTAGTTTTCATCAGTCGGGGCAACACGGCCAGCATCCAGTGGAATATCATGCTCTTGTTTTTAGTTTTCAATTTTTCAAGGATTTAAGGATATCATTTTTAGGTCAATTGACAATAGAGGAGACCCCGTTGAATGTTGTAAGGTGGTCTGCAAAGACTTTGCTTTTCCCTAGGACTTGTTTATACCTAGGAGGAAATCCAAGAGATAGTAAGAGGCTTAAAGGTTTTGCTGTTTCCTGTCATCAATGTTAACAAGGAGGTTCAGGTCACCCATTATGTCACCACTTCGTAAACTGTCAGGACTCATTCATCCCTGGTTCTTGGCTAACTTATAGACTCGTTCCTACCTCTGAACTCCAGGCATAAAACTTGCATATTTGTGGAATGTGGCATAACAACTTAGAAGTCGTGGATTCTAAAAAAAGCAAAACTGAAAACAATGAAAATAATATTGGTAGCTTCTCTTGGCACCATCCCTCATCCCTTTCCAAGAACTCTTCTCTTTTCCTTCATATGTGCCCTCAAAAGAATTTCGCCCTCCACAATCATCACCATACAAGGTTTAGTAACAACCACTCATGCACACACACACAATACATGCAGAGACATGAGTTGCTGCTTACATATGTGTGCATGTGTATGTGTAGATGTGTATGCATTGCTTACACACACATACACATCTGCCCACACACCCTGATTAAGATGTGCATGAAAAGATGTGTAAGAGTGCTTTTACATTGTTAATAAAAGGTTTTTTAAGAGAGTAGGCAAATAGCTATTGGAGATGTTTGCTTTTACGAGAAAAGATCTCTCCATTTGAAGATTTAAAGAAGAACAATCGTAGCCCACGTGATAGAGAGAGAGGGGCAACAAGACCACATTGCCCCTTTGGCAAAAGCATTGGCTCCGTAATACAGTTTTCAATTAGCCAGAAACTCCTAAAAGCCGCCGGCCATCTCCTTCCTCTCTCCTTCTCCCCCTCCATACCCTCTTCCTTCCTATAAATCACTGGCTTCCTCCTGTGTCACCCAAGGCCCACCTCTCCTATGACCGAAAAGAAAGAAATAACCCTTCTGAATTTGTGAAAGAACAAAAGCACTACTTTCTGCCTCATAAAAGGGCCATTCCACTCTATATCTCTCTCTGCCGCTCAAAAGTTCCACAAACAAATCAAATTGCTCTAACACTTCTGAATTTGCGAGAGAACAAAACCACTGCTTTCTTCCACATAAAAGGGCCATTCCACTCTTTATCTCTCTCTGCCACTCAAAAGTTCCACAAACACATCAAATTGCTCGTATAGGTGTCTATTCCTCCAATTGCCACCCCCAGAGAACCAAGGGAAGAAGACTGAGAGAGGAAGAAGAAGAGGCAACCCTCCTTTAGATAACAAAGGAAGTAGAGAGAGAAATGAAGTAAAAAACATAGGAAAAGAGAGAACACCATCACATGCAGTAATATCCATGCCAAGAGAAGCCCCTAATCGAATCTAAATGGAAGGTGCAGGCATTGATGGTACTTGCAGTGGCACAGGTTGGAGCCACAGTGGAGGAGGGAGAAGGACAATGAGTTCTCCAAGAGAAATACAGGCAGGGGCTCAAGCCACAAGACAAGGTAAAAATAAGACAACATGATAAAATTCATTTCCAATTCCAGGGCAAAGGAGCATCATTGATTTTACCTAAAAGGTCTATTTGTCCTTGCGTAGCTGAAGTCAGAGAAATAGCCAACGAAGCAGTTCTTGGAGAATGGGATCCACAACAGAGGACATGGACACCTCCAAGCTTTACGATAACCATGTCAATGACAAGATCGATTGCTGCAACTCCTTGCCAAAGAAATCATCCATTTGAAAGCAAATCTCTCTTCTCCATCCCTCCCTTGCTGGTCATACTCTGTCGGTTTCCAAAACCATAGAACCTTCTCTTTCCAAAATCATAGAGACCTCTCCTCCCTCTCCACATCTGTTGCTCACCTTCCAAAACACAAGAGCCTTTCGGTGTCTACACCTTCACTTCTCTCACTAATTCCCCATCCTCCCTCCTTACCAGCACCCGCACCGCTCTCTCTCCTCCTCACTCCACAAACTCATTTCCACCCGTATGGTCATTTCACTGTCAGAGATATGCCATTCATGTTTTTAATTACTATCCATACGTGTTTCATTATGTCATCCGGAACGTAGGTGGAAATATGGAAGTCCATGGCTGGTTGCCGCCAAATATCAGTGGATTAAGGTCAACTATGCAGCTTTTGAAATGAGAAAAAGTCAGATGGTCCCATGAGAACACATGTGCATTTCGTCCTGCACGACCACTGTATACACACCTAACAAAACCATCAAACATGGATTATTAAAAATTCAAATATTTCCCCTTTCTAAAACCACTTGTTCTGCTACAGGGTCAATGGTCTTATTGCCCCTCTGACTTTGTCAAGTGGGATGGGATAGCTTTTGTAAAAATCTTCAATCGCACATATCTTTTCTCTTAAAAAAAAAATCTTCCATAGCTTCTCCTAAAAACCCCTAAATAACATCAGAAAAACACAAAGACAGCTTCATAAACATGTGTGGCATTATGCACATGCCTGCAAAGGTACTGGAAGAGTTGCCATGATGCTAAAGATAAAAAGAGAGTAATATACAAGTGGAAGAAAGGCAATATTGACAAGCAATAACATAAAAAACAAACGGTCACTTCCTATAAATAGAAGTTGCGATTAATATAAAGGAGAAAGGGCACCATACCTCTATAAATTCCTAAAAATTGAAAGGCCAAAAATTTTCCTCAATGGAAGGGGTTAACATTTATACCACAAAATATTTTAGCAATTCATCTGTATGATACCAAAACCCTGGACAGTATCTTCAAAAATTAGCAAGAAACCAAAACTGAAAAAGATCGGTTTCACATACATATCAAAACAAAGGATCTATAACTTCCATATTTTCAAGTGTCAAAAAAGAGAAATATATGAAAAACGGGTTGCTAGTGTAACAAAGATTCAGAAAACTTACGAAAAGAGGTCAGAGTTAATTGGTTAGCGGTTCACGATTTGCAACACTACGTCCTAGGCTCAATTGCTACCAAGGGCAGGGCCCCTCTCCCCACTGACTCACCCAAAAAGAAAAAATTTTCAGAAAACCCCTTTATGGAATGTCAAAATGTGTTTATTTGCCCAATGATTCAAATTTTGCATATCCTATTCTGACCAACAAAACAAATTTGTACGTATTAATCTATTGAAGGAAAAGTACAATTTATAGTCCTGGATTACGAAAACTCGTTGTATGTTATGGTCATGGCTATCCAATAAAATGATGGATGGCATAGAGAGATTGGGATTGGCTAGAACAGGAGAGGAACCTAAAGGAGTGTTCCACTCTTATCGCTAATCATTTCAACTGATGGTCATGACCCATTAAAGAGTAAGCCAATATATTAGGGTAAACTTACATTCCCCTCCCAAAAAAAAAAAAATTGATGAAATTGAAGCTGAAAAGTTGTGACCCGATTTTTTAGAAGATTATGCACTACCCTTTACAGAAAAATGAAGACCTAAAAATGACAAAGCATTAAAACATCAAAATTGATTTGGTTTAATCATCAAAATAAATAAAAAATACATGTAAACTATAATAAACAAATATAAACTACTTTTGTGTTTGAAGGAGTAGGATTTTCTATCAAGCTTGGCACATTTTGGACATAGAACAATAATCTTGATGGATTTATGGCACAATTGTTGTTTTTGGTGAATTGCATTCAGTCTTAGGATCCAAAAGAGCCATGCCTGAGGCAATGATGATCCTCTCTTGTTGCTAAACAAACCATTTACTCAAATCCTTCTTTTTCTTAGTGCCATATTTTCTTAAGATTTCTTCACTTTTCAGCATTTCAAACAGACACTCTTATACAAATGTTTACCAGCCTTCAATAGCAAGCATGCATACATATTTAGGCCACAAAAAGGTGTTATAGGAAGCATCTGGGCACTAGAAATTCCATGCATATTTCTGAGACTTTATCTCCCAAAACAGAGCATGATCCATCAAATTCATCTTTCAGTCTCGCACCTAAATCCTACTAAGCACAAATACAATCAGCCGGAAGGTGTTGTTGACTCTCCTCTTTGAATAAGTTGAAAACTTAAGAAGCTGGTGAATCCACCAATTCTTCAAAAGAATGCCCATTCCTACCCTCATGCATGAGAGTTATTCAAAGCATATTCCATGCAACAGATTTATTCCAAGTGAATTTCAAGGCACTAAATAGCTAAAGCCACCATATTCAAATATCTCTAGCTTGTGCTTCCCGATCCCATGACCGGAAAAAAAAAGATAGAAAAACAAGTAAAAAGAGACAAGTACTAAACACCTTGCTGTCCATTGTTTTAACCAAAAAGTCATATGATGAAAACCCATTACATACATTAGTCATCATGCTGAAATTTAGCTTTAACTTTGCAAACTTAATCTCCTCAATATGCAAATGGACTTACCATGAATTTGCGAGAGTAAACAAAATATGAAACAAAATCCAGCATGCTAAAATTGAAGCTTGAAATAATGATTGCAAAACTAGATGCAAAGCATTGACCAAAACAAAATTGATTGAAAGAAAAAACTAAATGAAAACGTAGATACATATGTCATAAACAACTACAATAAGATAAATATACAATACATATCTCACTTCCTCCTCATTCCAAACAAGATAGCCATCACAATCAAATCCTTCACATCCAATGTTTCCAATCGCATGATATTCAAACCATCAAGTATGAAACCAGGTGAATCAATGAAATAGGATTCCCAAGTTTCATCAGTCACAATCATTTAGTTAAAAACATCTTGGTTAAAACTGAGATTCCTCGACAAACAAATTGAAAGAAATGAATTGCAAACCTTGCAGTAGTTGAACTAAACCAGAAATGAATACCACTTTCAACAAAAAGAGTAAGTAATCAAAATATTTCAACATACTATTCCTGAACCCAATGAAACTGTCAAAACCATAATAAACCAGGCAATATACCAAATAGAAGTATCACAAAAACCACACATACTCAAAATTCTTTGACATGCAAGTTCCAAATCTCATGATTCATAAAACCCCTAATGAATTAAGGTGCCAAAATACATACGTTTAACAAAAATCTATCAAAATGTTAAGGATTTCCACATAATAGAAACATTCAAGCACCTGGGTTCAAATTCCTTGATCTCGGTAAGCTCCTTTCCAAAAGTATCAGTCCACTGAACTTTCCGTTTAGCTGTAGAACTGGGGATTGTGTTGGCCTTCCCATCTTGGGCCTCTACTATATCTCCACCCACTGATTGAACCAAAGAATCATCATTAGTATTACCAGGCGGCCTCTTCAAACTACTCTTGAGAAACACCTTCCTACTATTATTATCATTAGAAGAGGCAGCACAATCCGATTGTGAGGCATCTTGTTGGTGAACTGGCTCTACTCTTGGGAGAGAAGGGCCTTCGGGTCTCGAAGATGATCGACCAAAGCATATAAAGGAGGCACACCCTCGAGCCCGGGATTTTACAGAAGAAGAAGCCAGGGGTCTATTAATGTCTTGAACGAGGTGATAGGCTTGGTGGCTCAAAGGGAGCACTCTCATCTGTTGTTTGGACTTGTTGTCTTGTTGGTTTTCGCTATGGTGTTTACCCAAGAAGAAGATGGCCAGGCCCTTGCTATATGAGAAAGCAGAGGAGGAAAAGAAACCACTTTCCACTGCTAATAACATCAGATTCTTACATCAGATCCTATTAAGAGGGTAGGATGTGGGCTCTCTCTCTCTCTAATAGGATTACGCGATGCGCCTCTCTCTCTCTAATAGAATTATGGGGAGGTGTTTCTCTCTCTCCTCTGTTTGCCTCAAGTAAGAATATGGATCTGTCTGTCTCTCTGGTAGCTTCAAATCAGAATATGGGGATGTGGGTTTTCTCTTTCTCCCTCTCTAGATGCCTCACATAAGAAGAATGGGGGTGCAGTCTCTCTCTCTCTATAGGGTTCCCAATAAAAAAGGCAGCTTTTTTCCCCTTTCTTTCTCCTCTGCTTGCTTTTTTGGGCGTTCCTTTTCCTTTTGTGGTATGGGACCGAGCAGTTCTTCAAGGGGGATGATTTAGAGAGGGCGGCTGTTACAATAACCATAGCATATCAGTAAAACGGGAAAACATGGAGAAAAGATGGGTACTGGCCATGTAACTGGTTAACCAAATGTCTCTTTCAAGAAATGACAAGCAAATGGGACTTCTGGTTTAATCAAGTTCCTATTCATCAGTAACAACAGCACATCTCTCTCTCTCACACACAGTAGTAGAAAACAGCACAAAAAGATCTCTCTCTCTCCAGTTCCTATTAAACCGAGTATTAAAAAGACAAAAAAGGACTCTCTCAATCCATTCCCTATTCACCCAGTAAAAACAGCACAAAAGAGTCTCTCTCTGGACTACTGTTGAAATGGGCTCTATCCGTCAAACAAGAAACAGGACAAGAAGTTTCTCTCTCTACATGGGTACCAGGAAAAAGAATGTCTTTTTCAATTATTATTTTTCCCATGTTTTTGCTCTCTCTTGTATTTTGTGCTAACTTCTTTAATCTCTTTTAGTCCGGGGCCACCATATGATTCCGATGATGCTACAATTAACCAGAGTTTCCTCAGCACAAAAATTGGGAATAATTTGTATCTACAAACAATAGGAAATGGTTTAATAAGGCTGCAGCCCTGTCAAAATAATTAAAACTTATCCTCATAATTCATCAAAAATTATAATCTTCATATGGATCATCTGGGCTTGAACATATTAATTGTGAAAAAAAAGATTTTAAGCTCTAAAAATTATGTATATTGTAACAAATTATCTAGACCATCTATTTCACCCTAAAATTAAGGGTTCATATATTTACAAGATCTGTACCATATTTTATTATTGGTGTTGGAAATTGATTTAGATCCATAATAGAGATTTTCGTTACCGAAAGTGCTAGCAGATGAAGATTTGACTGGAAACTTCATCCTAATAAATATTAATGGAAATTTACTAAATTAATGTTTTTTTCCTGAAAATAGACTTACACTTAAATAGGTATACAAGCCCAAAGAGGATAAAGGGAGAGAGATGAACTGAAAGCTACTTAATGAAACGAAAAGTAAGATACCACAAAATTACGCCAAAATAAATCTTGAAACACTGATGAAATGAAAAATCAGTGACCTATTTCCACCACTTTTGTCAAACATTAAAAAACCCAGCATTGTAAAAAATGCTTTTCCAGATGAACTTAAATACAACAGAGAAAACCATTAATTTTACCAATAAAAAATCAATTTTCCGATAATTATAAAAGGAAAAACCTAAAAGCCTGTTGATTTATCTTAAACAGACCAAATTTCTATGAATCTTCTCAAATATCTAAAAGTCCATCATTGTATTTGGCAAAAATCATGATCCTAAGTGCAATTAAATGTAAAAAATAAAGAGGACGTGAAAACCCCATTCATCATTTTCCCAAAAAAAAATGAACGCTTTATAAAAAAGAATGCAGACTCACTAGCCTAAATTGGTCTAAGAGACATGGACCCGGTACAAATAATCCAATTCAAAATAAAAGTCGTGTAACTGATGGAAAAATATCAAAAAAAAAACTTACAATAAACGCCTTGAAAATATAAATCAATTTTTTTTATTGAAGAGCAAAATAATTCTCAGAAGTTTAATGTCTTTGGGCGCTTTTTCAATATACTTAGAAAAAATTTCTGAAAATTCGGAATACAAACTCAAAAATAATACATCTTTCCAGGAAATTACTCAAAAATCTACTACATATTTTCATGATATTATTAAAAAATTTACATTATGTTATTTACCCATAAAATACCATAAATTAAAAAAAAAAAAACCCCATGATTTCTCGAAAAATACGCTTTTCTATTGAACCTTAATTATATAAAAACTGGGTTTTCCACATTATTTTCCCATTAATCAGTAATCACAATAACCATAACAATAATTTCATTGTATTATATATAATGCATTCATTATCTTCGTCTATTCATGTTGTGCATATTTGACACGAATAAATAAATAAACAATAAGAGAAAAGCTTATTTTTTTTTGCATTAAATGCGGAAAAAATTGCAGAAAAAAAAAGCACCGAGTAAATTTTGGGCCGCAAAAATTTGGAAATAAAATGAAAAGAATGGCTCCAAATTGAGACTGGATTGTGATCGTTGATTGTAACGCACCTCACGGATCAAGATCAGATCCAACCGTTCATTTGTGTGGAAGGAAAGATATCAACGGCTGGCCAGAGCTGACGCCACCGTCGTTTCACCAAACCCTCAAAACATGGGGGCGCTGGTCGCCCATGAATTGATCATACGACTCTAGAGAGAGAGAAATAAAGAGAGAGAAAGAGTAGTAATAACGCCTTGATAATGAAGAGAACGAAATGGAAGGGCCCGAATGTTATGAAAACTTTGAGAAACAAAAGGGACGAATTTAAGAGAGAGAGAGAGAGAAAGCAAACCCACTTGGCTGCTTTGATAGTTTCTACTTTTTAGAGAGAGAGAGCAAACCCACTTGGCGGCTTTGATAGTTACTACTTTTTAGAGAGAGAGAACAAACCGACTTGGCTGCTTTGATAGTTTTTAGTTTTTACTTTTTAGAGAGAGAGAGAGAGAGCAAACCCCTGCTTTGATAGTTTTTAGTTTTTACTTTTTAGAGAGAGAGAGAGAGAGAGAGAGGCCTTTAGAGAGACAGAGGAGCCTTGATGGCTTTTAGAGAGAGACAGAGGAGGCCTTAATGGCTTTTAGAGAGAGAGACAGAGGAGGCCTTAATGGCTTCTAGAGAGAGAGAGGAGGCCTTGATGGCGTTATGAGAGAGACAGAGGAAGCCTTGATGGCTTTAGAGAGAGAGAATGAATAATAAAATCAACTTTGATTGTTATAATGGTGTGGGGGAATTGGAAACCCACTTTGCCCACTTCAATAGTTTAGAGAGAGAGAGGCATTTTTTTTAGAGAGAGAGAGTAATAAACTCAACTTTGATGGTTTATTATATGGCGTGGGAGAAATTTAAGGTACTTAAAAAGGTATTGAAGGGGCCCCTGTATTGAATTAAACTAACAATATTGGGGTAAAGAGAAAGCTTGCTTTTGTGGGGCTTCTACTGTTGCATTTGCTTGTTTAAAGAGATGTGAATTGGTTCAATTATTAGGGCACCCAAAAGTACTCTCTCTCTCTCATTCATGGTGTCCTAAAAAATGAACCACTTAAAGTATCTCTCTTCCTCTCTCTTTGGGTATTCAAAAAAATAGAAGGAAAAAGTTTATATAATAAGATGCCAACTTTATATTGTAGAAGGAAGGTGCATCTCAAAAACTTAATGAAAAAATTTGTTGTCATCAGAAAATTCTCCAAACGATCATCTTGATCTCGATATACATGGATATAAAGAAAAAATAAATTTCAAGTCTTGAAAATATTGTACCTTGTAACACATTATTTAGACCGTTTATTTTCAAGATTTTTTAGTGTTCATAGATCAGGTAGATTTGTGCCATTTTTTGAGCTTTCAATTTCATATTGAGAGTGAAAAATAGACTTTGTGGCCATGATAAGTGTTTTGGTACCAAAAATACAACTTTTAATGCCGTAACTATTTAATATTGATATGTTATACAAACCCCATCTTATGAATTAAAGTTGGTCTCTCTGTCTATCTTTTTTGGGTGCTCTAAAACTTGATCTATAGGGGTGCCCTAAACAGTTCTCAGGGTCCTAAAATTTGAATTACGTATCTTTCCATCTCTGTCTATGTCAATTTTTGTCGTGTCCCAAAAGCATGAACCAAATTGAAATCATATAATAATTCCAAATTGTCTAAATCAATTATTTAAAAAATATTGGGTCAGCACGGAATCTCTTGGTCTGACCTAGAAATTAGTCACTTTGTTTCGGTTCTACGTATATATAAGAAAACGGCCAAATCTAAAAGGGAACCGACAATTCTGCATAGAAAAACGGCGATTCTCTATCATAAAGCGGTGTTTTAGACCGATTTTTTACCGGTTCACGTATTTTTTTTACCCGTTCACTATTTTTTTGTATAGTAAAATGGTAATCCAAACAGCCAATCTGGACCTATTTTTGAGGTACCCCAAGTCACTAATCCCTAGTCCAAATAATGAGAAAGAGCCTTATATTTCATTTGAGCCAACCAAATAGTCTCTCTCGCTCTTTGAGACAACCATCCATCTCTCCCTTTCTCTCTACCAACCAAATTGTCTCTTTCTCTTTTTTACATATTCATTTTAAAAGAAAGTATATATTACCTATTAGATTAATATAAAAGGTGTATACGGTAATCAATATATTTGGAAAGAGTGGATACAATATCCTATATTTTATAATAAGTCTAGGCAGAGTATAGACGTTTGTGATTTATTTCTATTTTTGTATTCGTCTATATCTAAAACAAACTTGTATATTCATAATCTTCAATAAAGACCGAGTCTTTTCAGAGAAACATGAGAATCTTCACATGGTATCAAAGCAAGGTTCATATTCATCGTGTCCATTCCTCATCTCTAAAGCATTGTCATCAATTTTCAAGACAAGTATGTTGCTCACCAAATTGGTGCAACTTCTGTCGAGTTGTATTTCGACTATCTTATATGTCTCTCCGCCGAATTGTGTTTCGACTCATTGATTTCTTTGCTGAGTCGTGTTTCGACTATCTTATCTGTCTCTTAGCCGAATCGTGTTTTCGACTCTCTGATTTGTTTGATCTCCTCCACTTCGACTGTCTAATTTATTTGATCAAAGAGCAATTTGAGCATAACAACCATTGTTTCTACTGGTCATGTTATGCACCTAAAGATCTTGCTCGTTTTCATAATTAGTATTCAAACTCCAATTTCTCTCTTTGATAGCATATTGAGTTTGAGGAGTGTGAAAGGAAAGTATATATTACCTATTAAATTAATATAGGAAGTGTATATGATAATATATATACTTGGGAAGGTGTATATTGTAATCGGCCTATATGAAAAGAGCAGGTATAATATCTTGTATTTTATGGTACGTCTTAGCATAGTATAGGTGTTTGTGATTTATTTATATTTTTGTCATATGTGTCTTTAGATAAACCTGAAAAGACTCAGTATCTATTAATCATATGAATATACAGACTATAGATGAGAAATTATAAAAATAAATCATAGTTTCCTATAATATACCCAAACTTACCATAAATATAAGTTATTATATCTACCTTCCTAAATATACATATTATATTACTTTTCATATTAACCATGTACACAATATATACTTTCATTTCACAATTCCAATTTCACCAAACAATAACAGCCTCATATTTCCTCTGAAGTCTGAACTAAACCAACCAAATAGGCTCTCTCTCTCTAACTTTCTCTGTAAAATGCAATCATACATAATTCCAATTTCTCTGAACAACTTCTCTATACCAACCAAATCTCTCTCTTTCATGTAAGCTAACATACATGGGCCACACCTACCCACCCATAACCACATTATTTATATATCCCATTTTTATGTTTTTAATATAAAATTAAAAAGCAAAGGCACGCTTCAAACACTATCATAAATTGCAAATCCCGTGATAGAAAACCCTTAAATTGTTCATTTCAATCTCAATAACTATGGATCTGGAAAAAAAAAATCCTCTTACAAATAAGATTCCTTATAATACATTGTTTGGATTGTTCCTTATAATACATTGAGGCATAAATGATGTTTTTTGCCTTAATTCAAATATGGGATTTATCAAATTTTGGTCCCGAAAGCCATGCACTCTCGACGCGTTCTTATTATGAAATCACAAGCACAAGACATGGAGCATCTATAATGGCTTTTTATTTATGGGTCCATCTTTTGCCATGTATAATCATTGAAATCCTTTTGCTTTTGGTTGAAGCTTTTTAGAGCTGTATTTGTAGTTTATTAAAAGAGAAAATACAACGCAAAACTCAAACTTTATACTTTAATGAGAGGCCAAAAAAAACCAAAGGAAGCATATGCAACAAGATTATTTGTTTTTGGTACGAAGAGATACAAATTATATTTTGCTTTCGATGCAAAAATATGTGGCTGAATATGTGTTATTAATTGGGTTCAAAGTCTAAAAGAAATTTGTCTAAACTCTATGATACAATTTTACACTTGGCAGCTAAGAGTGCTTGTGATATTTTTACGACACAAATTAACGGTCTTTTAGTATACAATCCAAAAAAAGAAAAAGAAATAGATAGTGTATAGCAGTGACTTAAAAAATAGATCGCTAACCAAGATCGGACAATGCAAATATGAGTCTAAATCAATGAATCAGTGGCTTGGATCACTATTTTACATTGCGGAAAAAATAGTGAACCGACGAAAAAACACGTGCAAAAATAGTGAACTGGCCAAAAACATGCCTAGATCAATGAATCGATATTTTTTACTGGAGCAAAACACTGTATTTTTCTTCATGGGGCGACTGATTTCTGAGTTAAACCGGACGACCTGCCGTTTTTTAAACCACTAATGGATAAGATCATCATGACCACATGGGATATGTCGACATTGGGGTTTCATCAGCGTCGAAAATATCGGTCGAACGGTTCCAAATAGATAGTGGGTCCTACCAAAGCATGACACAATTTTGATGTGGATCTCTCGTACTCTCTCCAGAGCATGGATCCATTGGTGATAACCCCCATGACCACGTAACCACTTTGATCAATATAATTTCCCCAAGTCATATGCACCAAAAAATGAGCCATGGATCTCTTTCTCTCTCCTGTGAATAGGCTCTCTCTCTAGGTTATGAACAACTCTGCCCTACTCTATGGTTTTCTCCCAGCCAGCAAATTTCGACAGCATCATCAAACAAGTACACCACTGTTTTTCAAACTTGTCGGTGAATGTTAAATCAGTGGTTCCCATTTCCAAAATTAAACCATGGTAAATTTTCTCATTTAACCATCTCTTCATGTTCTTACTGTTATTTTCAGTGAAATCTATAATTACTAACAGTTAAAAGGCAATCAAAATCTCTGTTGATTATCTAAATTGTTTCTAGACAACAGGCAAAAAGAGTTTAAGGCCCCATTTGGATGGCCCAACATGTCTTTTAAAGGAATGAGGTTTCCTTTCGGGGAAGACATTCACTTTTATTTTACTTTTTTAGCTTTATTTTACTTTTTAAACTGTTTATAGATATTTTGGCAGTGTTTTTTTTTTATAAATCCAAAAGTTCACTATTCATGACTAGAGGAGCCAGATGGGTAAAATTGTAGTCTTGGATAGGTAGAGGGAGAAAACTTTGCCTCAGTCTGAGGGCTAAATTGATGCTCTAAAATTTGATGGGTTGATTTTGGCAAATAAAGAGCGAAAAAAACACAACCAGCAACAAGCAAACAAAATAACCCGATCGACAAGAAAAGAATACTGATTATTCACGCAATAACCCGATCGACAAGAAAAGAATACTGATTATTCACGAGAGAAGAAGATCGAAAGTTTTTTACTGATGAATTCAAAGAAAATTATA